TACCACCAAATTCTTATCTATTTACATATGTGATTGTTAAACTTCAATTTTTCACATACATGACACCTTCCCTAAGCATGAAGAAGTGTATATCACTTTGTAAAAGTTAAAATGGTGGAATTTTTTATGTGATGATAGATTTGGGTGGTCAAAATGTAGAAAGCAAAATTTAGGTTTTAAATATGTAAATGCATAGGAATTGAGTGGTATGTGTATTTCACCTTCCCTAAGCATGATAAAGTGTATTTCACTTTGTAAAAGTTAAAATGGTGGAATTTTTTATGTGATATGATAGATTTGGGTGGTCAAAATGTAGACAGCAAAGTTTAGGTTTTGAATATGTAAATGCATAGGATTTGAGTGGTATGTGTGGTATGTATATAAAAGTTAAAACATTTTACTTCTTTTTTCTTACCTTGTTGGGTTTATTTACATTATATTTTTTGCCTACCAATTAGTTATCCTTACATGCCATGCATGCATTTTTATTAGCACTACCAGTAAGAATAACCAGCTTTGTACCTTTTCTCAGAAAGGTGATTGCTTGACTCATTGCAATTTTATCTTAATTCTTTTCTAATTTTCATTCATTTTGTTGAAAGTTGAAGCTGAAACTTAAAACCTAGAACTGGAAGAATGTCTCCCTAGAATACAACAACAACAACAAACCTTTATCCCACTAAGTGGGGTCGGCTACATGAATCATTTTTCTCCATTGCGTCCTATTGAGTGTCATGTTTTCATCTAATTCTAATAAATTAAGATCATTTTTTAGACAATATGCCCAAGTCTTTCTAGGTCTACCTCTGCCTCGAATCTAAAACATCTACGCTCGTAACATAAATCGTATCTAAAACATCTACTCTCCTAATGGAATCATCAGACGATCAACATTTAATGTGACCAAACCATCAAAGACAGCTCTGTCTAATTTTGTCTACCACTGGAGCTACAGCAACCCTATCACGGATATATTCATTTCACATTTTGTCTCTAAGTGTAAAGCCACTCATCCAGCTTAGCAACACCTAACTTAGTTTTATGCTTCTCTTTTAAAAGCCAACATTCAACATCATAGAGCATTGCAACCATCTTATAAAATTTTTCTTTCAGTCTAAGCGGTACTTTTCTATCACACAATAGGCCCGAAGCATTCCTCCACTTCAACCAACCAACATAAATTCTACTAATAACATCCCCATCTACATCACCATCACTTTAAACAATAGACCCGAGATATCTAAAACATTCACACCTTTTAATAATGTCTCCTTAGTATATGTATAATAATTAGCTATATTGACATTGCTTCAGTCTAATTGATCATATTATTAAACACAGAATTCTGTTCTTTTCTCTTAGGATCATAGCTTCATAGCAAGCTTCATTCTTGACAAAATTAAATAAGAAAATAGCTTTTAGGTAAATAGAATACATAAGAATTGAGTGGTATGTATGTGAATCTTTCTTTTATTATTTGATAGAACTACTTTTTTTTTATGAATTTAATATATAATTTTACAACAGTTATATATTATAGTTTCAGTTATGTTTATATTTAATTTCCTTTCCTTCTAAGGACTTCAAAATCAATGATGTGGCTCAAATAATCTCGTTGATAATGACAGCATAAATTTTATTTATATTGATTCATGCTTTTGGTGAAGAGGATTTGTCTCCCTGTCTGACTATCACGCCCTACTACAAAGGCAGGATTTCTAGAAATTTATAGGACTTTTGTTCATTTTATTTTATGTCTATGTTTGTATTTATTTATGTAATTGTGTTAAATTTTGATGTGTATTGAATACTATAATTAGAAATTGTGATTCTCTCTTAATAAAAATTTTATTGCTCTTGCCTAGTTGTCTCGTTATTTTTATCTAAAATTGTTTGTTATAAATTTATCTTAAAAATATCAAAGACTAATATTTTTTATAAGAATTTCGAGTTTATTTTGAGCTGGTTCACAAGCTAAGCTCGAGCCGACTCGAGCTAATTTTGAACAAACAAACAAACAAGTTACTTTCAAGCCGATTATGAGCCATTGTGAACAATATCAAACGATTTTGAGCCAAACACGAACAGATAAATTTCGAGCTAATTTCAAACACGAGATATTTTCACACAGCCATCATAACAAATGAGTTGAACACAAACAGAGCCTCAGCTTGCTCATGTTTGGCTCATTTACACGCCTACTTGTGAGTTTGTTTTGAAATAGATACAAATATATCCCAACACTTTTGTTAATTAGAAATAAGGTGTGAGAATAGTTATGGATAAATAGGCATTAGGCCAATACTAGATAAGGAGCGCACAAGGCCAGTAAAATATTGAATTCCAAGTAGGATACTAGAGAGTATTATAGCTTTCCAATTAAAAATGTATTAATTTAATTAAAAGGAATATGAGTTGTGTTGCATTGTTAATCCTTCCCCCTGCACAGCATGAAGGCCAAACAAAAGTAGCACCACATGTGTTCATAATATAAGCACTGAATCATTATGTTTTCAAACATAAAAAAAAAATTACCCTATCACAATATGTACGGGGAAATTAGAAAAGAGGAATTCGTGAATTACCTTGATCATTTAGAGCATGAAAAGTTTTTTATATATAGTTGGAGAGTCGATATATAATCTAATATGAAAAATTGTGAGAAAATTGACCCCTCAAAATAAAATCAATAATATAATGATGAAGGAGGGAAAAAATTGGAAATTCAAAGGACAATAGAAAAAAATTCTGAAATTGAACAGTAAATGTATCCAATGAAAAAAGAAAAACAAAGTTGAAGAATGAAGACAGAATGAGGAAAGCATTAAAAAATAGGACGGCTACGTCCATCAAAGAAATTAATTATTGTGCTATCAATTATGTAAGAAAATAAAACTAAATAACAAAAAAAAACTCTATTTTTTAAGATAAATAGCAAATTTGCCAGCATAAGGGAGAAGTATGGCTTTTGACATGGAGAATCATTTTGATGGCTTCTAAAAAGCCACCAATTTTCTTTTCAGCGACTGATAAGGGGAATTTTTAACTGTTAAGATTATAGGTAATGACAAATATGATGCCATTAGAACTATGCTAAGCTTTCAACAAAATAATTTAGAAACACTAAGTCCTTAAATAATGCCATCTAAAAGCTGGACTTACCCTCCTGAACAGGAAATTTCTCTTCCTTGGATTTGCAAATAACAAGCCCTAACTTCTGTGGTTAGAAAAAACAAATAATGTTGTATATCTAACAAATAATGTCGTATGGACCCAAAGCATGGACTACACTCTACATATCTAAAAGTTACAAGATTGGACCTGGTTTTAAAATGTAAATCACAAGTTTACAGAAGACATTTGCCCGTACTTTTAAAACCCTGAACCAATAAGTTCACATATTTGAGCGGAATGAATTTGCAATGCACTCAGCTTCCAATTACTATTGATAGACTAGCATCACCTTAAAAGCTTTGGAAAAATACAAAGAAGCGCTTTTGCATTCCATTTCTACAAGAGTTAACAATTTCTCAAAAACAGCTTCTTAAATTTTGTTCCCTTTATCTATCTTCCACTTTGTACCCACTAAACAAATCACAAAGAAAATTTGGAAAGCTAAAACTATTTACAGTGAAGTTATAACCTCACTTTTGTTCTCTATGGAAGTATATCTCAACCCTTTCCATGTATTCGTTTGGATGGAAAAATCCAAGTTGCCTACAAGTGGATGTTATTGAAACTAAATTGTATTGAACCACACAAACACAATCTTCTCTGATTATTTTAAAAATTCATTTGTCATAAAATATGGTTTATTTAGTTTTGTGAAATTAGTTCCAATATTAAAGATCACTAAGAATTCATATCATTATTTGTACCAATTTTAGCTTGGTTCACATTCAATATATATCCAAGCCTAAATTGGACAAAACTTGAATTGAGTCGAACATAGAACGGATCAAACAGAAATATATATGCATGCATGTATGAATTCATATATACAAGTATTTTTTTCATCTGCTAATACTATAATATATATGGGGCATTTACATACATACCACCTAATTCATATGTATTTACAAATCTAACACCTAAACTTTACTTTTTATATTTATGCCACTCAAATCTTTCATATCACATAAAAATACCACTATTTTAACTTTTAAAAAGTTAAATACATCTTTTTATGCATAGGTAAGATGGCATACATGTAAAAATTGAACTTTAAGTGTTAGATATGTAAATACATAGGAATTAAGTGGTATGTATGTAAATCTTCCTATATATAAATAGCCAATTGAGCTTGTTTAACGAACTGTAATATGAATTTACCCTACCTGTGAAACAACATTAGCTCTATTGAAAAACTAAATGATTATTTTCCCCGATCTTTAAACTAAACACATAGCGACATATGCAAAACAATGATTGGCTTGATGCTAATTTGAACTCCAAAAAATTTATCTAAGCCTAAGATTACTAGTCTGCGCTTGAACAAACCAAGCAGATTGCATGTTTTATCACACAATACATGTCTGATCTTAAGCATGGTAGTAGACACTGCAGGCAAGTTAATTTTTCTACACTTCCAGTTCACTCATTTACTATGGTTAACATGTTATCTTGTAATTTCAATTAAATTTTAATTGGATGTGGTTGCATTAGACAGCCACAGACCAAGCTTGTATGATTCTTTTAGTTTATTTAGATTAGTTATTCAATGCTTATTCTTTCGCATCAGTTCATGATCCAGCATCTTGTTGTACCCGCCATATTGAAGGATAAATGCGAAAATTCATAATGGGTAAATCAATACCATGGGCATTTTACCAACAAATCCTAGTTTACCCTTATTCAGCAACTAGCTCGCTAAGATTACATATTTTCACTTGAGCTCCACTCTAGATGGACCACTAAAACCAATATCAAAATAAACAATTCCTCATGAACATAGTCAATAAAAAATTAAGACAGAAGGAAGAAGGTTTGGCGTTGCTTACGCGGTCCTCTGGATGAAAGCAAGGATGAATGATGCCATTCATATCGAGATATAGATTGTCGTATTCAATCCCATTAGGGTTCGGCTTCGACGTATCGACGGGGATCTTAACGCCTTCGATCTCCACTGGTTCCTCCTCTACTACGTCCACTACTACCATAGGATACTTCTCCGCAAGCCACCGGTAAAACGCCGGCACTCCCATTGATCCTCTCTCTCTCCCTCTCTCTGTGCGACGGAAGTGAGGGCCTAAGGGAACCCTACGCGATGCTGCAGAATCGTGTTGGATCAGGCTGCAAGCACAGAGTTCTAATTAAACAGCGGTGGTCCAAATTTATACCTGCGCTTTGTAAACATTTAGAAAAAAGAATAATCCCAAAATAATGATGTGGCACCATAAAAAATTAAATCATCTCCTAATGGAGATTTAGATACATAGCACCTATTTCCAGTGCAAAAAACATAGGAATCAAGTGCATTTTAAAGTATGGATGGTTGATATGTTAATATACAAGAATTAGGTGATATATAAATGCCCTTATTTTTATATTCTTCATGAAAATAAATTTAAGATAATATTTATTAACTATTTATTTTTTAGAAAAAAATATGTGGTCATTAGCCAATTTTATTAAGAAAATATTTATTTATTATTTATTTATTAGAAAAATATATATTTAACACACTTTCTGAAAAAAAAAAAATAGTGCGGTTATCAGCCAATTTTCATGATGATTCTCTCTCTTTGTACTTATAGACTACTAATATTTTTCAAGTTTTCATGAGATTAATAATAAGCTTTTCAATTTAAATCCTAAACCACTTTTGGTTGGACTACAATTTAAGTGCCTACTAGGAATTTGCTAAAATCATCTTCCATTTATATTCACATTCAAACCATAATTAAATGACACCACGATATAATGATATGAACAATATTAAAATCTCATAAAAATTATTTGAACAATATTCTCTCAATTTTATTAAAAAATGATCACTCAATCTTGATGAACCTTTGATCGTTAAGTAATCTTTGAATGATCCTTGGTGCACAATCAAATTATATTTAAATCTTTGTTTGTCTTTCTTTGATTATCTGTAATTATGATAAAGATTTATTCAAATAAGGGTCGAAAAATATTTGGAGATGATTAAAAAATGCATCAATGATTGTTCTAATATTGCTCAATAATAAGTTTAAGATAGTTATGACAGTTGTCAAAGATGAGCCAATTATGTTTGAACACGTTTTAGTAATTATAAAAAATGGTTTGATCATGATTCGAGATTATTCAATCATCGTTAAAGTTAGTTCAAAGCTATTCTTTCATAGTCTCTTTTAGGATTGACTAATTAGAATTGTCATGATATGTATGCAAATATTTGATCTAATATTATCAGATGGGAAGCATTATAATGCTTGTTTCATATATAAAGTTGGAGATATTATGGAGAAACTAGTTAAGATATTTTACAGCTAATGATCTCATTTTTCATATTGAGATACTCCCTACTTGGTTTTTATTTTTTGTTTTTTTAGTTTTTAAAATGTCGTTTTGTAGTGTTCTTATTAATTAATTATTAGTTGATAGTGATAAGTGTTGTGCGCCTGAAAATTTAAAGCAGTGAAATGATAATTTAATGTCTCAATGTTGCACAAAAATTCTGTGCACACATAGATAAAAGAAAAACTGTTGGAGGACACAAAAACCTCTTACATGGAGAAATTCTGAAAGGGAAAAATCACATAGCCTAGTTCTCTCAAAGTAATCTACTATTTATAAGTATAAAAGTACACTATTCTCTTATAACAGGAGAATGGGATCACAATTTTATACTGAAAACTACACTTATAAAAAATAACATACGTGGTATGGCTATAATAATTGCAAGTAGTGGTCGTTGATCATTGCAAGTAGTGGTTGTCGAAAACCATTGGTCAAAGACAACGGGTGGTTACAGCAGGCCATTGTCGATGAAGGTTGGTGGTCAACAATGACTACCAGCTACGGAGGTCAGTGGTTACTCATCAGGTTTTCTCTCTATAACAGGCTCTAGAATTATACTTCTCATTTCCTTCTTCTCCTTCCCTTCTCAAGTAAAGAGAATAGATCTATTCATAGTCATTTGGGGAGGGGCATTTTGATCTTTTGGCATCTAACTTCCCTAACGGGTTGATTAGACGGTCCACGTTGATCCCCCTTGAGCATAGGTTATTTTTAATAATGTGTCTTAATGACCTCAAAATTAAACAATCATAGGATTGTTGGATTTTTCTAGTTGAAACACTCAATTCAACTATAAATATGACAAATGTGTAGTTTATTTGACAATTCAATTGATGATCCAATGCTCTTAATTGTTCTTCAATGGCTTGATTTGGGCTTTATTAGGGGTTGACTGAACTAATTTTAACATCATTGGATTCAACATGTCGAGAATGTCAATTTGACTATAAATTTACTAAATCTTGGACTATAAATTTATCGAGACGATCGACTGACTATAAATTTGTTGAGATGGACAGTTTAACTATAAACTTGCTTAGATGATCATTTAATTTGAATTTGAACGATCCCTTGTAAAAACTGCATCGGGATTCATGCTTGATAAAAATTATTGATGACACATCAATCAGAATGATGTGTACTCAATTGCATTCACCATTTGAGGGTAGATAATAACATTTGTGATTGCTAGCTTTGCTTTGATAATTTGGTTGAATTTTAAAAGTTCTCATTTAGGGTCTCAATTAGGGTTCGTTTGGGACCACGTTTTTCACGCAGCGCGGTTTCAAACCACGAATCTGCACTCAAATTTGATATTTGGAATTTGCGTTCGTGGCTTTTCGCCACTAAAAAAGGCAAAAAAAAGGCCACGGGATCAACCCCGCTGCCCCTTGTTATGAAGCGACTTTTACCTCATTTGCCCCTCGCTCCCATTCTCTCGCGATCAAGCCTCTTCTGCTCTATGTCTCATGAAGTCGCTCCGCTTGTTGATGTTGATAATCTCGCGAAGCCCCCTGCGCTCCCTCGAAGCTGGATAATGGCAAAGTTCTGGTCGAGAAACAAACATTTATGGGAGACGACAGGCACTAAGGACACCATGTTCAAATCACTCGAGGCAGAATTTGGCGGCGTCGGAGCCCCAAATGTTGGGATCGAGATGCGCATCGTGGGGATGAGGATGAATATATTGATGCAATTTGGTAAGTTTAAGGTTCTCAGTTTGAGGTCTTGGAGAGCTTCTCTTTCCACCACGGCTCCGGGGGGATAAAGTTGAAGAGCTTTCTTGGATAACTTGGCAAGCTGATACAAAATTAATGAAACATTAATTCTCTTTTTCTCTCTCTATCTAATATTTACATGCATACCACCTAATTCCTACGTATTTACATATCTCATATTTAACTTTCAATTTTTATATATAAGCCGCTTAACATATGCGTGAAAAATATATATTTCACTTTTCTTAAGTTGAAATAGTGATATTTCTTAAGTGAAATAAAAAAATTTTAGTGGTATAAATATAAAAAATAAACTTTTGGTGTTAGATATACAAATGCATAAGAATTTTATATAATATGTATGAAAATGCCCCATTTATATAAAATGTTTTAAACAACTTTACTAAATAGGGGCAGAATGATCATTTTTTTCTAGAAACAACTGCCCCACAGTTGTTTTCACACAGTTGCAACTAACAGACACACAGCTTCCCCACAACAGCCTCCTAGGGTAGCATAGCTGCAGCTGAAAAGTTAAAAAGCTGCAGGTGCCCCAAAAAGAACCTTAATGACGAGTTTAAGAGGATATCAATAAACAGTAAGCTTCTAAAGAGTTACTTTGATGGATATAAGAATTTTAAGAACACTAACTTAAAAATGTTTTTACATAACACGCTAATAATTCTCGTGTATGGAATTGAGTTGAACTAATTTTTTGATGGTCTTCTTCTTAGCTATAAAAAAATAATGTTGTCTTTAATGAAATGCTTCTCGTAGTTGAAAATTGACACACCAAAAAAATTTTCAATTTTTTATATATGTTAATGGATTATATTTGGTGATATCGCACTTTTAAAAAAGGTTTTTTCATGTTTTATTGCAGATAACATTTGGAGCTTAAAGGTTGCAAAAAGTATGAAATTTGGAGTCAAAAAAGGCGTTTTCCAAAAATTGAGCTAGTGTCTAGGTGCTAGAACTAACAGAATACAGAGAAGAGGGTGCTTAGGCGCCAGAGACAGTTATTTTCACAAATACATTGAATTTGGATTAATTTTGAAGAGGTGTCTATGGAGACTCTTGGGAAATTTGTCCCTACATTATTAAAGAGTGTTTTTATGTCAGAAAAATATGTGCGTGAAAGTGTGTGTTGAGTATTAGTGATTGGGGCGTGAGTTCCAAGTTGTGGGAGAGTGTTGCAAGTGTCTCTAAGAGTTGTAAGACGATAGAGAAAGTGAGAGATTTCTTCTTCCTTACATTTCATTGGAGTCAAAATAAAGTTTACGAGGAAATACTCCGAGCCGGCAGCACCAAGGTTAGCGCTGATGGCGCAGAAAAACTGAAAGCTGGAGAATTTTTACACAGCGCCGACGACGCCAAAGGCGGTTCAGACCCCGTTGAGATTCAAAAGAACTTCAATGGATTTTCATGGGGAAGAGATCGAGTTAAGTTGTTTTACTTTTCTTTCTTGTTTTGTAAACTTATTTATATATATATAATTCATGTTTTGTTGTATCTTCCTCATGAATTCTGAGTAGATTTCTTTGTCATTCTCTCTTCAAAAAGAGATGGTCATGTGAAGAATCAAAATTGTTGTACAATATTTTAATGTCATATTTCTCATGAATCAAACTTCGAACTTCATTTACTTTTTGATTTGGCCAATTAAATTGTTAAAACTAGAGTCAAATAGTAATTTTGCTTTCAAAGTTTAAAGTTTTTGTGGTGAGATTTAGTGTGGAAACTTTCTATAAGAGTGTTGGAGAAGGACAAAAGTGGAGAGTTCTTCTTCCTGCATTTCTAAGGAAAGGCTACAAAGGATTTGCTTTAAGAAAGAGTTTCATATAAGTTTGTTTGTTTATTTAGTGTTGTATGAACTTTCTTTCATATATGAAATTTATGTTTTGTCGTATCTTTCTCATGAAGTCTAAGTAGTTCCCTCTATCTTTCCCCCTACTCTGAGATATGGTGAAATGTACAGATAAAATGAATGTGTCATAATTAAAATATAAAATATAAAAACTAGATTAGTTAATGTTCTTTATTGCTTTTAAAAATGATAAAGAATATAATTGCTTCTATTTAGCATAATATAACTTTCTCAA